GTGAGTAGTCGACGTTTCCATTGAATTGCACTAGTATATCTGTGCATTCTAAAACTGTGTAAATTCGGAGGCAAACTCGTTAGGCCGAGTGATAGAATTATCCACATGCATCAATATCTATTAGGCTCTATAGGATGCTAAAGGAGGAGCCTTTCTTATTTCCAACCCTGGCTCGACCACGTATAAGCTAATCAACCATGCTACATCGAACTCCTTTTAATAAAATGACGTTATTTTTTAAGTATTTCTTTTTCTACCATCTGGCACCCCTATTTATATCATCTACAGTCTGTTCTTCGGTTCGCTGACATATGTGCAGGACCTGGTGGCTTTTCGGAATACATGCTTTGGCGCCGATGCTCCGGTGGGCCTATCATCTCTTCTAGTCCTGCCAGTCCAACGGGTTCCGCTGATTCTGGTGATGCTGGTGACTCGTTGGTTCAGAATTCTTCCGTGTCAGGAGCTACTGAATCGCAAACCCTTGATCGCCCTGCCCTGTCTGCCAAGGGCTACGGCTTCACGAAGACTGGCAACTGTGATTTCCGTCGCCATGACCTGCTTGCAGGCCCTGGAGAAGCCTTCGAGGCTCATTACGGTCCATTAAAAGATGGGGACATCACGCAATGGCAGAATCTTGCCTCATTTGCATTATGGATTGGTCAGGAAACGGGAGGTCATGGCGTCGATCTAGTAATGGCTGATGGGGTAAGTCCATCGTATAGTTATCTTAACCACTTATATAGGCCCTTCGCCGTTCAACTTTTCACTAGTGCTCATTAAAGTCGCATTTATTATTCTTGTAGGTCAGTCATCTAAGAATAAACTCACATCCACAAGATATGCTGAAACTCATGATCTTCCATTATTGAAATAATAATTTTGCTAACATCATGTTCAGGTTCCTTTCACAATCCAGTTTTTACTTTATAACATTTTGTTGGAGGGACTTTCATTTCGTGCGAAATTGCATGAGGAAGAGATTCGTTGACTGCTCTCACTGAATGGCGGCAGGCAATTTCCGTTGTTTTTCATCC